AACATTTCTATGCCGCCCCTTGCCGAAACCTCGGGGCGGCTTACAACATGATAAAATACATTGAAATACAATAGTACATAATAAAATTACCATTAAATATAACAATACAGAAAATACATTGATTTACAAATACAAAATTAAAATTATCAGTATAAAATAAAAATATAGGAGGAGAAAGAGAAGGAAGAAGAAGTTGCCCAGGCCAGAAAGAAGTTGCCCAGCCCCAAAGTGGCTCCCCACCCCCAAAGGGGCAACCCCTGTTGGCATTATCTGCTACAGAACAATGCCTTCATTTACTATGTCCCAATAATTCTTTCTAGAGACTTGTTCTAGAAACTTTATGAAGTTGATAGAAGGAAAGCACAGTCTTACTTCCTTTGGGGCTTATGTTCTTATTACATTTAATTTAAACATGCATAAAAAAGTGAAAGGGTGTGGAAAACATCTGTCAACTCAGAAAAGGAAGATTAAAGTGAGATGCAATGTAATGCTGAAGATTGGGACTGAGAAGTGTTTGACAACATTTCACCTTCTAGACCAGGGCAGAGCAACCTCTAGCCCCTGTGGGCCCGGTCTCCAAGGCACCCCCTAGGGAATTGTGGGGTATAGTTGATTTTCTTGGCATAACGCTAGGAATTCCTTCTACCACCGCTTTGCAAATTTAAGTTTCCAGGTTCAATCACTACCATCTCCAGTTAAAAGATCTCAGTTTGGGGGGTGGGGGAGGGGAGAGACTTTCCTTGAGGCCTTAGAGATCCAGACCTCTAAAACTGAATTCAGACCACAGGCTGAAGGAGGATACCCTCCCTGGTCTTGTAGAAGGATTTTGGCACCAACCAAAGAGAACAATGAATGCTGCCTACTCTAGCATGCATCTTTTGAAAATGCCTTCATGGCTCCCTAGAAGATTTAGAGGGAAAAACAGCAGAAGAGCTCAAAAAGTGACCAAAATGGGAGGGGAAGAAGTCTGTAGCAAGATTCTTGGAAAATCAGGTTACTGTAGTAATCTCAGTTTAGGGTACCACTGAAAAAAGTAATACTTATAATACTACACTCTCAAGACACAATCCTATGGAGTCTACGTGGACTCTTGATGGTGATAAGACTGCTTGGAATTCCAGCTCTGACCTCAGAAACCTGCAGTGAGGTTATTGCTGAGACTCTGAGATTCAGGGGGTGGGGAGGGTGACAAGCTTCACCAGTATACACAGTACACAGTACCCTGGTGAGACTTCAGTCTCCTGTCCTTGCACTCTGGGATCAAAATTGGCTTTCTAAGTGTTTTGCAGGTCAAGAGGAGTGCAGATACAATGTTCAACTCCAAGCACCTTTCTCCTCCATAGGAAACCTGGAACTCTCCAAGTCTGCAGGGTTTCAGGCAGCTTCTAATAATCTATTAGTTAATCAATTAGTATAAATAGAAGGAACAATCTTATGATGTTGTCTGAATGACCACAAAGGAGTTCAGCTCTGACTGTAGAGCTCCAACCATCCCCTGAACCCCTCACAACCAGCATGGAAAGAACTTCTGAGGTTCAGAACTCACTTCAGAGAGGGCTTAGAGAGTGTGGTTCAGGTGGACAGGAAGTGATGAGACTGAAGTGGCCAAGATACAAGGTGTCCTGAATCTACTCCTGCCTCCTTCTCTCCCCTTCTGAACATGAGCCTCTGAGTTGAGAATATCACACTCATCTCAATAATATTGCATCCTAAATCATTAATACATTAATCCAAAGCAACTATTTGAAACTTAAAAAGTACCTACAATCTACCAACCCTAATTCTATGTTGGGAGCACAAACTACTGAAAACACAAAGATGTTTTGGCATTAGGTGTCTTGAATCACTCTGATAGCACTTAAAATAAGATGGAAAGGATGACAAGCAATGAAAAAGCTAACCCAGATAATTGGTCGCTGAACATTTTTGGAAGTATCAGAAATCAACTTCCTCAATTTCCAGAGCTTTGGGTCATTATAAGCTGAATGTCACTCTTGTTTGATTGATACTAGTTTTCTCCTCTGTCAATTCACCCGGACCCCCACCCTTTCATCAAACTGAAAAAAGGAAAAGTTACAGCTAAGACCTCTTCTAAGTTGTTTTTGCATAGCTGATGCGATATCTTCAATAACATTTCTAATGCAATAACATTTTTCTATTCCTTCTAACTTGCTGCCCAGGAGGAAAACTACAGTTCCCAGAAGTCTCAGGAGAAAGCAAGGGTGCAAACACACTCAAAAGCCTGTCATGCAGAAAGCTAATGCTCCCTTTCTTCCAACATCTTGATAAGAATTCTCCAAAACTGATCAAAACATTTTCAAGATATTAGTATTGTTATTTTCATTATATATCTCCCAATGGACAGTTAAGAACAATTCTGGCACATTTGGCTATTTCTCCTCAGCAGAGCAACTTTGCTGCACAGAGACAGAAAGAAACACGTAAGGCAGACACAGAAAGAACTGATGCCTCCATGCTGTGGAGAGAACAGGATAAGAGACAACCAAGGCATGGTGATGAAACCGCTCCCTTTTCCATGCCAATCCCTTTTGTCATAACAGCTTCATTGTCTCCTTTCACCTAACTTTCAATACCGCTAAAGCAGAAGTTCTTGTCTACTGTACAAGCACAGACTTCCCCAGCCTAATGCCCTTCAGAGGTTTTGGACTACTTCAGTCCAAGCAACCCTGACTATAGACTATGCTGGCTGGGACTGACAAGAGCTGTAGTCTAGAACATCTGGACAGGCCAGGTTGGGGAAGGTCACAGAAGAATTCTTCTTTCTCAACAGATATTGCAAGAACCTTTGCTAACATTCAAAGTCGGACTTTAAATAGATATTAACATAGACAAGACCGAATAAGAAACCCCTCTGAATTTTTTGTGTCGTTGATGCAAATGTACAGGGCACAGCTAGTTTTAAGGTTAAAATCCCTTAAGGGTACTGGAGGGCACAGATGCCCAGAAGGATACAGACAATGCCAACTATAAAAAGATCATAATCTTATCAGACAAGTAACAATGAGCCATGAAAAACATCTAAAAGAATTCAAAGAAGTACTATGGTTCAGCAGCAACAACTTAGTAAAGTTAACAGGCATACTTGTCTTCACATTTTAAGATATACACAAGCCTAGATATACACACCTATTTCACATAATTACAGAATAAAGTCAATAGTTTGAGGACTTCAGCCTAGAGGAACTGAAGGAGGGTCATTTTTTCAAAGTGTTTCATAATAACCGGGATCAATTTCTTTTATACAAATCTGCACAACTATTGCTCACGTCTGTAGTGTGCCAACAGTTTTACATAACAGTCTGATTTCAGAAAACAACACTGCTGAAATGACAGCATACACAGCAAAAACCAGGGCCATTGCAGCCAAATAATCACGGAACAAAAGAATGATATTTCTAGTGCAAAAACATCACAACACAGGACACAAGCCAGAAGAGCCTGCTTGCCAACAGTCATGTGCTTTGGAGCCCACACACTACCTTAAGCAAAGCATGCTGTGCCTGAATAATGTAAATAGCTGCACTGTGTCTGAATTATTTTATCTTTGGGGGTGGCAGCCGCAACCCAGAAGAAACCACCCTTGGGAATGACAGCTGCTATCACAACAGGATCTTTGGAGTGATACAAGTGGATTTTATTCCTACTTGTCTTCAGAGAAAAGGCAAGATCTCTTGACACTTCACCAGATGAACAATGGTGAAAACACAGCAGCAGCTTTCAAAAATGTCCCTCTGCCCACATCAACTGAACATCATGAAGACTGCAATATTCTATACTCTAAATTCTGGCCAACACAGTAAAACACTTCAGCTAGAATTTATGAATCTCTCTCTTCCATGCTGTTTTAGTGCTCTAGCCATGGCTGGCAATTGCTAGTCTTTGCCTTTTAAATTATTATTCCACATTTGTGTATATTCTTCCTGTCATGCCTTCAAAACCATCCAGCCTTCAAAACTGTTTTCTTTTGCCACTTCAGAATTTCTTCAAAGTTTACTCTGAGATTTAATGCAGCTTTGGCCTGCCAAAAAAGTTTGTCTGTGGGATTCTGTAAATTATCTGGCAGTCTTTTCTGGCTGACCATCTGGAGAATATTTTAGAGTGAAAAAAAGAAAGACAGAGAGAGGGAGAGACCTGCAGCAAGAGCAGTTCTGCTCTTCTCCCCCCACCTTCCTGAGACCTCAATTCGGTCTTGCTAATGACTCGTCTACAAAGCATCACATTCAGTCACGCAGTTGGGGCAGCGGGGCGAGCTGGGAGAACTGAGCAGCAGCAGTCTGCTAGTCGATGGCCCATAACGGAACCCTTAAACTGGAAGTTTGGGCGCAGACCTCAGTGAAACTCTTGAAAAACCGTTAGATCTCCAATCTGCAGACATAGATAGAGGCAAACACGCACGCACTTTTTCTTTTGCATCTGTTGTTTTTAATATGTTAAAGCACAATTGAACGATCTGGGAAGCAGAGCAACGAGAATTCCTAACGCTTCTTACTCAGACGAAGCACACAGCAAAGTAATTGGCGATCCTTCGAACTCCCCCCCCCCCCGCCCCAATGATATGCAAGTCATCTACGGTGGCGGTGTACGTGTGTGTGCTGTTGCAGAAAGCGCACATCTGGAGTCAAGATTTCCCAGCCCCGTCCAGTCCACTGTGGAATGCGACTGGGGATGGAAGAAAGTTGCAAGCGCGGAATCCTCCAGCAGGAGCGGGTACGGGAGGGGAGCCAAGTTGCTGCTTTCGCTGCCCCCTTCCTCAGCCTGCACAAATATTGCATTGCAATCACATGACAGCCCCCCTCCCGCGCGCGCCTGCTTGCCTCTCTCCTTTGAGCAGCCGCCGCTGCCGCCTCCACCAACTCCAACCCTAGCAGCGCCCTCCTCGTTTACCTGCAGTCTTTCGGTTGCCGGCTGCCACATATTTCCCCCGCGGGGACCTAGTGGGGAGGAGCGGCGGGACGTGTTGCTAACGAGCTGAACTGTGGAGCGGCTGCAGCAGGGCTCTGGCCAGGCTCGCTCACATCTGCTCGGCGTGTGTCAGTTTGGGGCGAGACGCCAGCGGGCAACGGGAGCGAAGGGCAAGCGCCGCCCAGCCGAGGAAGAAAGCAGCCCTGCGCTCCGGAGGCTGCGGACCCCGGGCTGGACTTCGTCTGCGACCAGCTCGGCGCCGGCTCCTCCGCTGTCCTAGTGCGCGAGTGCCTGAGGCCCCTCGGCGCAGTACCAGCAGCCACAGAGACGGCCCGGCTCCAAGCCACGCCCCTCCCGCCCGGAGCCACGCCCCTCCCGCCCTCTCGCTTCCTACTCCGCGTCCCTCAAGCCCCGCCCACGCCCTTTTCCGACTGGGCGCCGCCACGCTTCTAGCCGTCAGCCCCGCCTCCCGCAGTAGCCGCCGGCGCTGCTCTGCCGAGCGCTCGCCATTGTGCTTTAGCACCCCGAGTGTCGGACCCGGACGGGCACGGGCTGTCGAGGCGTTCCCCGGCGGCCCCGAAGCCAGATGTCAGGCAGGTGGTCAGATCCGCCGGACAGCAGGCGTGCCTGGCTGCGGCAGAGCGCCAGCGCTTGCCCTTTTTGCAGTAAGACGTGACAAGAACGTGAAATCCCGGCAGGGTCAGCACAGAGAGCTGCCGGCGTTTTGTTTCGTTTTGTTCCCCCACCTCGTTCCCAGCGGACGCGTCTTTTGTGCAACTCTTCCATGGAAGCATCTTCAGGACGAATGCAAGACACGGGACGAGGCTTCTCGCTCAACTGCCTTTCTGTGTGCGATTGCATGCAAGGAGTCTTTCATAGCATCCCTTGCTTATCCCAGCCGTTCCGATCAAGGTCATTGGTGGCTGGAACGCTTCTTATCCTCCATCCGGATGCATCCCGAATGGGAGACTTTAATTCTCTCTCTCGGCAACGGCACGCTGGGTACAGATCTTAAACTGCTGCCCCCTAGCCTGTGCCCTCTTTCGCAGAGATCTGGGACAAGTTGAATGTGTATCTTTTTCTAGATATCACCGTCCGGTTTAGCTTTCCCTCGTACCACCAGCATTGTGTCCCTGGACTGCTGACTTCCGTGTCACATTAACCCACAACATCCTTATATTTAGACAGAGGTAGAGTGCATGCAAAAGGGCCCATCGTTGGTCTTTCCACGTAGGCATTGGAAAGACCGCTGCCAGAAACCCAGAAAAGTCACTGCCAGCCAGTGGAGAGGGACTGATCTCCGTTTACAGCAGGAACGTATGCCCGGACTTTAAATCATGCCGGCTTTATTGTTGGCTTAATTGTTCGTTTGTTTTCATTTGAAAGCTATTGTAGCCCTTGCTTCCAAGGACCCCCTTTGGTCAATTAAAATCCGAGTAAGAAAGTATTTGAAAGAGTATTCTCAATTCCATCTTTATAAACGACATTGTTTCCTTTCTTCTATGTCAGGGCTGATACTTACTTTAAGTAATTTGCCATGCACAACTAGAGGTACGTTTTATGAGTCCTCATTCTCCAGGCTACATTTGTTCTTGAGAAAAATGGTCCCAACTTAAACCAACATTTACATTCAAACTAAGCAGACCATGTCACTTACGTCTACACCACCTTCCTCTTTTTTTGCCGAGGCTTTAGGGACAGAGGAACAAAGGCAGAGAGAAGTGTAAGTGGCTTTTTGATACCCTCTGCAATCGAAGCTGCATCTCCCTCTCCTACGTTATGCAATCTGTATAGGTAGGTGAGAGTAACAGAGACATCTGCTGGTGAGCAATGCAGAGTTTCCTTCTATTTTAGCAGAGCAGCTCAGGCCTTAAAATACAAAGAAATCCCAGAGCACATTTGAGACCACACATGGAAATAAGCAGCAATCTGGCATTGGTAACAGGGTCTGGTGTTAATTGTGTCAAATATCCTCTTAATTATTCTCTTCAGCATTTTGTGGGAGTCAAACTTTGGCTTTTATTCACAATAAAGAGGAAATAAGAGTGAGATGTTTTGCGTAAAATTAGAATTGCTTTATTCAGTTTGTAACAAAATGACAGCAAGTTAAAATGAAGCTTTGAATTAAACTTACTATACCATGACCAGTTTGTCCCTATTAATCCTTATTTGCATTATTAACATCTGGAAAAAATAAAATGCTTATTTGTTCCAGAGTTTTGATTAAGTACCAGTTAGCAGTCTCCTTTCCCCTTTCTTTAGCCAAAGAACACCACCACTTGTGTGATCTTGGCTTTGTAAAGGCTCAGTACTTGCATCATTTCAGCGGGTTATGGGCAGCCAGATATGATGATGAAATAGGATGATGCTCTTGGAGTGTTTAATTTTCTTGTGAAAGGCTTAAAGCTATTTTTCAGTACAGTCAGAGGTATATAAATGTATTAAATGGCAAAAGGTCAGAGGGAATAAGGGCATGCTGCCTTCTAGCAATAGGGACGCTTGGTGCAGAGTGGCCTGGAAAGTTACAAAAGAGGAACTGAGGCAGGAACAGAGAAAGGGGATGTTTGGATAAGAGTACATGAATATAATAAATGCTGAGGAAGTAGAAGCTTTTAGCAGAACATACAACAGTAACTAGGGGACAGAGGATGACCCATGGGGAAGGAGGTCTGAAAACTTGAAGACAGGCAAGAACACTATACATAGGAATCAATTCACAATAGACAGCATAACCATATTTGAATTTGGGTCATCTCTGCTGGCAGAAATCCTTAATGGGTAAGATATGAAAGCCATGTTCTTGCAAGTCATGGTTTTATCTCATGTTCTATATTTGTTACTAAGTTTTGTTCTGTTTTTTAAATACAAAATGATAGAAAGGGTTCTTGTAATTTGTTTTCTGTAAGTAAAATCCAGTTCTAAAAGTTTTATTTCCACCAGAGCAGTTGTTCTGTAAACCTAACAGGTCTTAATTGCCCATTCAAGACCTGGGCAAATGAAACACTTTGTATTCCAAAAGGGAAAAGCATACTGACGCTAAGAAACTAATTTTCCAGCCAGCTACTGTGAGAAATGCAGCTAGCTCAGATGGAACAGGAAATTATGGCAGATGGTATTAGCATCCCTGCTAATAAGCGCAGACACTGGGTCCTGTACAGTAGTGTTTAAACAGTTATAAAGATGGAAAAATGGACCACAGGGTAAGGTGCCACTGTCTAATTTGAAATGAAACCATAGTGCTTCCTTTCTCCCACCTTTACTTTGAGCACTGGTCTTGCATCTTAAATTAGTGATGATGCTCATCCTCAAAAGCTTATGACATCAGGTGCATGAAGACTTATTCTCAGAAGAAAATATTTATAAATGGATATATAGGAGAAAATTGCAAACTGTGGAACCAAATTGTAATGAACTGCAAAAAGTGCAGATTCAACAAAACCTGAAATGTTTGTAAAGTAAGCACAGTTGCCATTCACAGCAATAGAATTCATCTGAAGCTGACTATCACAGTCGCTACTGAGCTTGGACTAATCTAATTTGTTATAAGGCAGCTTTCTAAGTGAGAGAGGGCCAAGCTAGATACGGTTGGAAATAGCAGAAAAATGCTTCGTCTGCATTTTAAGTATAATTCACACTTATTGGACTAATATGTAGATCAAAACAGTTACCCTAACTTGTACGCTTATGAATTTTGCAATGCAGTTCTCAGCTGAAAAGCTGAATGCAAAAAATGTATATATTAAGAGAAATTGTGAATAAAACCACATCGATAAGGGAAAGTTGAACATAAACATTCATATACTGGATAAAGTTGTTTCTGAAAATGAGATTTTTGTGCTTTAGAAAAACATGCAGCCTGATGCTGAAATTTGATCAAACAGACTTATGACTGATGTGAACCTACCATCGACTGGTTATGGTCTGATAAAGTGATGCAACAGTTCATCTAATTTCCCCCCAATGTAAATAACCACTGTAGGCTCCTCCCTGAGCAGGATCAGGATCATGGAGGACCAAAGCATCCTGCCCAATAGATTGCACCACTACGAATGAAGGTTCTCCTCCTGGAGCCCCAAATGGTCCAGTTATGTGAGGAGTGGGGTGGGGAGGGGGGAGGAGAAAAGGACACATTGGTTTCTCAGTCTTTCTGCATTCAGACTTCGAGAGATCCCAGAGAGGAGAGTCAAACCCTGAAGAGAATCCCAGCATCAAAGTCAGGTTTTTAGGGTGGAAGGCTGAAGAGGAGAAATTTTGAATTAGCACAGCAATGAGAAAGAGAAGTCTTAGAATCTCCATTTCCAGTACTTTTACCCTGGCAATAGACTTGCCCGGCCATTCTTTCCCATTTCCTCAAATGCATTTGTATGTCCCAGTAATATTGTACAATCACAAGCATATTTTTAACTCTGCTGGAATGAAAAACTGCCATTTCTTTCAGCCAATAAACTATCTCTTCAACTGTCTCTTTTCTCTTCAATGAATTGCATCATTTCACATTTCCTGCCTGTAGTTTTCCAGACAATTACTTGTAATAAGAAGTGCTCATAGACTATAATTCATCCTTTGAAGTGCCTTCCTAGTGAGATCCTTCATCCTTCCACTATCACACTCCAGACATATCACTGCACTTCCCATCAGCAAGTCAAGGATCCATCAGACCAAATTATTACTATTACCATGCCTTACTTGCCATCAGAATTCATGGCATGAACTTGAGTCAATCTCTTCTCTGAGGAGCTTTGAATCTGAAAGGGCACAAGAGAAGAACATGGTCTGGAGAAACCCTGTTCTAAAATTAAGTCATAAATGTGGACCAAATGTTTGTCAGATTCTTCTCTTGAATTCCCTGAGGTTTACAGTAGTATTCTGTGACCGAGATAAATTAAGCAAATATTTATTTGGTTACATTCCCCCTGAAGGATGTAACTCCAACCACACTTTGCCTCAGAGGAAACAGCCTTGTTCTGATATGGATTGGATGTTTAAATTCCTCCCCAGTGGCTAGGTGGCAGTGTGTGAAAGTATCTTCTCATCTTTGGTGGGTTTGAGAACTTCACAAATTCCCTGGACTCACAGCAAGACAACATAGCGATCCAGGATCAAATCAAGCCAGAACTTTCCCCTAGAGCTAAAGCTGTCACGGTTTGGACACACCATGAGAAGGCAAGACTCACTGGAGAAGGCAATCATGTGATGGAAAGTCAAAAGCAGAAGAAAAGGAGGACCAAATATGAACAAAGTTTATTAAATGAAGGAAGCCACACCCTTGAATTCACAAGAGCA